TGAATTATAAACGGTCTCTTCTGTCTTTAACTTGTATGATTATTAAAATGCTAAAATGAAGACTACAAAGACAGTAAGTTTTTGGTAGAAGTTCACTCTAGACTGCTTGAACAAGGCATGAGATGATAGCTGTAATACAAAAGGTTATGAAAAGGACAGACTATTAATGCAAGTAGGAGATTTAAGGTACCCAAGACAGTAAGGCACACAGTGAAAGCAGCAGTAGTTGTATGGATATACGGCAAAGCTGCTCCTTTACCCATTACATAGAGGAAAAATATAACTAGAATCATGGTAACAGAGATGACAGGATTAAGTAATAGAGAAAAGAGAGTATCTAAGCAACGGTGATAATTATAGTGTATAAAAACATCAAACATATAATAGAGTTGGAAGCTTGTACACTAACTATGTATTCAGTACAAGGCACATACCTGAAATGAACATTCAAGAGATAGCAGACTGAGCAGTAAAGGAGCAAGAATATCTGTCACCACAATGAGAGAGCAAAGTATTTATTCAAATGCTTGTTTCTCTGGGGATAAAAAGATAATAACATAAACTCACCAGGGCAGTGGGGAAAGAAGAATGTGAGGTTGTCGGGTTTATTCTACTCTGTTCTTACAGAGGTACATGTCCATGGTAGTGCAGAATGTGATAATGTGGACAACACTTGAGATGTTGCCTCTGTTAAACTGGAATGAGGATCTTGTGAGTTGGCCCTTGGAGTTGTTCATTGCCTTCTCAAATTGTTGCATCAATCAAAAATCTGAAAGCATGCATTCAGATAGAAGGTGCCTGTTAGAGACTGTGATCCAGGTTGCCTTTGGTGGCTTTTAACTGAAAAATAATGGTGTGGAAATGTAACATCAGATGAGTTTTTAGACCAGCAGCAGTCACACGTACAAAGCAATGAGCTCAGATGTTCAGCTGGTGTAAACTGGCATACCTCCCCTGACACTGTAGTCCATAAGAAGGCCAAATCTAGTCATCTGTTTGTTTGTTTTTTAATCAACTCGGTTTCTCATAACCAAGGAAGAAGAACGCAGCACTTAGCAAAAAAAAGGTGTTATTGCACTTGCCGGGAATGTTTACATTTTGCAAACTAGACAGGGTATCTCAGTTGTGTAGTGCTGCGTTTTCCTTGTGTAGCTCAAAATTACAAAGGAATGTAGAAAGAACCAGATGTGTTCTCCCTGGGGAATTTGTTTGAAATGTTTGCCATTTGGTTCATTCTCAAGCCAAATGATTTTCTCTTCAGGAGTACATCTGTGAGCCACAGGAAGAGTAGTACAGGCAGGGCTAATGAAGTAGTGAGTATCATCATAGGCAGCTGACCTTCAGCTGTGGCAGGATAGAGCAGCCTGAGGCTCCACCTATGGGCTGGCCCATACATCAGTATAATGTAGAAGTAAATTAAAGCTCCCTTTTGCCCCCACAATCCCAGTTTTGCATGGAAGATAGCCTTGCTGGAACAAGAAATCTGTGAAAGCTGGCCCAATGCTGTGGTATGTGCTGTTATTCAGATAGAAGGGGGGGTTGCAAAACTGAAGCATTAGAAGTTTTGAAGTGTTTTAGTACATGA